GGTGACCCAGCTCTACTCTTCATCACTATGATGCTGTAACTCAGAGGTGATGATGGTGACCCAGTGATGTCCAGTAGTCTCCAGTGAGAGCAGCAGCTGCTGCACGTTGTAACGCCGTCGCTTTAGTCGTCCTCTCCTTTAATACAACTCGTGTATTCTTCTGGTGACGGTGCGTCTTGAGGCTCATACGTGACGTCATTCGTTGAGATCCTAAAGGTGCGTTCACACCAAACGCAACGTGAACGCACCTTGGGAACGTTCCTCAGACCGACATCTTCCACAACACTAACCTGCAGTTTGTCTCCACTTCTCTGCAGCATCTGTTAGCTTGTGTTGCTTTAGTTTATCTAAACTTCTCCCACACGCTGCATCAACGTAGTCTGAAGACTTCCTCCACCGCTGCCAGTGAGCAACGCACTTTACAAATAATAATTTTTAAAATGCATTAATGCGCGATAAAATAATTCTCGGTGTTAATTAATTAATGTGTTAACGCGATAATAACACGTTAACTTGCCCAGCACTAAAGCTCAAGTATTTCTTAATGAAAAAATATTTTTCCTCTATTTAAAACAGATTTAGTTAAGATAAAAAGATTGAGAAAAAAGATGTTTATGTAATAATTATAATAATTATGTTATAATATAATTATAATTATATATAATTTAAAAATAAATAATTTATTTTTATTATTTTAAGGCTTTTTACAGTGAAACGTACATTAAACATCAAGCTCACAAAGTAAAGTCAAATCTACAGAAGAATCAGCTTTCAGTAAACCAGTCAGTAAACTAGTCAATAAACCAGTCAGTGAACCAGTCAGTAAACCAGTCAGTGAACCAGTCAGTCAGTAAACCAGTCAGTAAACCAGTCAGTAAACTAGTCAGTAAACCAGTCAGTCAGTAAACCAGTCAGTAAACCAGTCAGTAAACCAGTCAGTCAGTAAACCAGTCAGTAAACTTGTCAGTAAACTAGTCAGTAAACCAGTCAATGAACCAGTCAGTCAGTAAACCAGTCAGTCAGTAAACTAGTCAGTAAACCAGTCAGTCAGTAAACCAGTACCTGAGGTGTGAGTGTCCCTGCAGCCCTCGGACCTGGATGTCTCTGTCGAGGACGTGGATCATGGCGGCGAGCTGCCGGACCACCGTGTCCCTCTGAGCCACGCTGACCTGAGAAACCGAGACCAGCATCTCCAGCTCCATCTCCTCCCCCCCACCCAGTTCTACGGAGACACAGCGGGGTCACACTTCACCAGATCCTCGTCAGACGTGCGGTGATCCACAAACAAACCGGGACCTACCTGGTTGGACCTCCACAGTGGCCGTGGCGGTGCTGGAGCGCCCCTGAGCGTCAGTCACCCTCAGCTGGAACAGGTAGGTGCCCTCCACCAGGTTGGCCAGGTAGAGGGAGGCCTGAGTCACCGAGCCGTACAGGACGTCCTGCCAACAGACATTTATTATAACAATAATATAATGTGCTCTATTTAAATTATAATCTACTGTAATCTTAAATATCAGTACTGAACTGACCCCAGCAGCAGGACTCTGGCTGTCTCTGACCCACAGGTAGTGGACCTCGGTCTGGTCTCCGTCGGTCATGGAGCCCCTGAGGACCAGAGAGCTGTTGGGCAGAGAGACGGTGTGGCTGCCACTGGCATGAGCCACTGGAGGAGGACTGGTGGCTGTGGGAGGAAGGACGACAAAGAAGTCTGGTTCAGTTCAGTCTGTCCCCCCTGTTGGTCAGAGACAGTCCGTCCCCCCTCCTGGTCAGAGGGTTATAAAGTGAACACTCTCACCTTCCTGGACCCTGACAGTCAGTGAAGCTCTGTCCGTCGCCCCCTGCTGGTCAGAGACAGTCAGTCTGAAGGTGTAGCGTCCCACCCGAAGGCCTGTTGCCGAGACGACTGCCTGGTCCGCTCCCTCCAGCTTTAACCCCGGTAGACCGCTGGAGAAACACGGCGGAGAAACCACAGCTGAGTCGGTACAGAGAAGGAGGAAAGTTGACCAGTCCGTCGGACTGCTCGCGTCCTACCTGACGACGTCCCAGTGGTAGCTGACGATGCCGCGGTCATCGGTGCTTCCGCTGCCGTCCAGTGACAAGCTGCTCACTGGGAGAAGCAACTTCCTGTCAGGACCCACGACAGCCACCGGGCCACGGTTTGACCACCTGACCTCTGATACTGAACAAAGGGAGAGTAGTCAGGGTATATTTTGTTGAAACAGACAACACTTCCTGTTTATCTAGAAATGTACCAGAGTCTGCAGTGGCCGCGGTTGGCGGGTTGGTGCTGGGAGTTTGGGTGATGGTGGCGTCAGAGGACAGAGGTCTGTCCGGGGGATGGGTGGTGGTGGTGGTGTCAGAGGTCAGAGGACTGTCCGGGGGATGGGTGGCAGTCGGTGGAGCTCTGACTGCTGACTGGAGCAGCTTCAGTACATCTGAGGAGCATCAAGAGTTCACAGTTAACTTACCTTATTACTGAGATAAACTATAACAACTCAGTTTAAGGTTTTTGTATTTTATATCAGTGTTTCCTCCTTTGCATTGAGGCTTCACAACCCAGAATTCATCAATTTGTTTCCTCTGATTCAAAGGGTTTTATAGAAGAAATACAAAGACAACAAGACATGATGTAAAAGAAACAAGCAAGGCAATAAAAGATACAAACAGGAAATACGACTGAAAAATGGGATAATAGGATTCGATCCTCTTCGGTACTGCCTTCTGGTCACCTTCCAGAGTGGTCCAGCTCTTCAGTCCTGCCTCCGAAACTGAAGTGTGTCAGTGTTTGTTGCTTTAGTGCGGCCGTTTCCTGAGTGAATGAACTGTATTCCGCCGGTGGTCAGGATCAGGTTAAGATCCATTTTATCTGGATGACTACCCAAGTCTCCAGGAAATAAATGTGAGTCAACGTTATGTCCCCGAGGGTGAGGACATGGAAACACAACTGTGTGTGTGTGTGTGTGTGTGTGTCTGTACCAGTTGTGGGTCCGGGGGAAACTGAAGCATCAAGTTTAACTGTGGGCAAGGTTTGCTCTACAGGGTTTCCACCGGACACAATCAGGGGTCGGTCTGCAGCTGAAGGAAGAAAACATCAACTATGGAGTCAAAAAGATAAATGTTATTTCAGTCATGTATTTTGTTACGTGCCGTGTTGTGTTTGTGCTCTCCCTCTGTGTTCCCTCAGTGTCTTCTCGAGTGCCACCCTCTGTCCCGGATGCCAGCTGCAGCAGCTGATTGGATGCGGCTGTGTTCAATCGCGATTGGCTGGTGGCTAAAAGGAGAGGATCTCCTGAAGGACGACCTCTTGGGCACACCACAGTAGTGAGGCTGTGCGTGTGGAGCTGACAACCCTTGGGCAACGCGTAGTGGTGGAGCTGCGTTTGTGTGTTGCTGTGGACCATTGTTGCACCTTTGTTCCAGCCGTGTGGGCTGTTGTATGTCTAGTGTCACTTTCTTTTTATAAGAAAGTAGTTTTCTTTTGCTGCCGTGCGAGCAGCTAGCCCTTTTATAATAAATACTCTTTTTGTTAACGTCATCGCTGCTCAGTCTCTCTTTCCCCGGGAAAATAACACCGTTACTCCCCGCATCCCTTAGATGCCAAACGGGGAACGTAACAGCTTGGGGGCTTGTCCGGGATAGAGAAGAGCTGATTGGGTAATTGTTGAGCGTTTGTTTTTTAGGTGCTGAGTGTCTCGTGGTAAGTGTTGTCTGGCTGTCTGTTATATTGTCTCTTTTAAAGCAAACTACTCCGCAGCTTCCTCAGGATGGACAGGTGAGTGTCCAGCTCGGCTTAACGGTCTTTCCTTCGGGCACTCGTTTATTATTTTGCCTTTTTTATTTTCGGAGTAATTCTGGGTGGGGATCAGTCCCTGGTGGAGGTAGGCGTTTCAGGGTTTTGGCCGCTGATGTTTGCTTTTCAAGTCGCCTCGAGCCCGGCACGCTCCAGAAGATAGACGGGTAAAGGTTTGGTTAGGCAGGATCTGAGGAAGTTTGTTTATTTTTGCTGTGAGGGCTAACGGGGCTAAAAACGTAACATATTTAAAACAGAGGTCACTAACTTGCGGATCTGCTCACTAATTTCTCTTTTTAAAAGATGACTAGAATATTTTACCTGAATGAACTGAATTCAAAGCTGCAGGACAATTCAGTGACTTTAATTTTCTAAAATAAAGTAAATTATTGTAAGATGCACATTTTTAAAAAAAGCTTTCTGTCATGTATTTCTTTTTTAAATGCATTCTTTTACTTGAAGTGAGAGAACATTTATTTATTATTTATTTATAATTCATCCAGTTAAATTTAAAATCTGATAATAAATATAGTTGAGATATTATTTAATATAACTTTCTTTATTTGATTTGACAGTCAGCTGTTGACATACAGACGTTAATACAACTGTTAATTCTAATAATAATTATATACAATATGTATGGAACTAAATCATAGAACAAGTTATTACTGTTCGTTGAATTTGTATTAAATAATCCTGCTTTAAGCCTTTTATTGTAACATAATAATAATAATAATAATGTATGATTATTATCATAAACAGTTTTAAATGGGGTTTGTAAACATGACATCATACTTTAAGGTCTACCTGGCTGGATGGACGTGCTGATTGGCCAATGGGGCGTGTCAGGGGTGGGAAGGGAAGTCCCTACATGGTCGCGTTGGGAGGAGACAGTCGTCGAATCAACGCTGCTTTGAGTTTTGTTCTGTGAAGAAAGAAAATAAACAGAATGAGATATCTTTGCTCATATTACTCTTTCCAGTCTTTATGCTAAACTAGGCTATCCCCAATGCTTCCAGTCTTTATGCTAAGCTAGGCTATCCCCAATGCTTCCAGTCTTTATGCTAAGCTAGGCTATCCCCAATGCTTCCAGTCTTTAAGCTTAGCTAGGCTATCCCCAATGCTTCCAGTCTTAATGCTAAGCTAGGCGATCCCCAATGCTTCCAGCCTTTATGCTAAGCTAGGCTAACCAACACACATTACATCTATCTGAACTTAAATAATGTGAAACCATTTATTTAAACTGAAAGAAGTTTTACTGTCCTTACATTATTTTAACATCATTGATTTATCCTTAATCTAACCAGAAATGTCCCTTTGAGACACACCAGGTCCTGGATCAGGGAGACCTGGACGTGAACCTGATCCACATGAACCTGATCCGCATGAATCCCTCACCATTTTCTCTGCAGCAGCATCTGGTCTCCAGGTTTCGTCGTCCCCCTGAGGGATGGTCCCCCCAGAGGAGGATCTGTTCTGGACCACGTTGCTGTGTGCCCGCCCCCCCTCTGGACCGTCCTCTGCCTCCGATTGGTTGAACCCATCTCTTCCCTCTAAAGACCCGGTCCCTCCCGTCTCCTCCTGGTCTCCCTCTGGATCCTCTGCATCCAGCATGCTGGGGTCAGAGAATTCCTGCGGGGGCCCGTCCAGCAGGTCCAGGTCCTCCAGGTCCCCAGGGGCCTCAGAGGACCGTAAGAGGGGCCTCACTAATGACTGCAGCACCAGGGTCTGCGGTGAAGCCCTCTTGAGAAAGACCAGGACCGAGTCTGTCCCGGGTCTCTGTCGGGGCTGGCAGTACCCCCTCTGCCGACAGCTCAGGATGTAGCAGCGACCCTCCAACATCCAGACCAGGTCGTAGTCTGGCAGGTCGCAGCCGGCCGCTACGCACTGAGCCAGAGACGCCACGCCAGGGACCCTCAGGACTCCACCGGTCTGAACCACCGGGGACACGACAGCCTCGGAGAAGATCGCCCCCTGCCAGCACTGAGATGCCACTACAGCTGCAACGCAACACAGGGATCTGGTTTACGTGGTGAAGCGGGTGCTGCTAACCCTCCCCTTTATGGAGGACCACCAGGACTCACACTAAGACCTGAGACACAGGGATCTGGTTTACGTGGTTTTATCCTCACTCATTCACTCCATTATATGAACATCAGGGTCTGAGGTGAACGTACCTTCCACACTGTGGAGCAGCAGCAGGATGGCTTTCTCCCACATGGTCGACCTGAAACAGAACGTCTTACTGGGAGAAAACCAGCGAGTTCAGAACATCAAATTACATCAAAATACACAAACGTTGAGTCAGTTTGAGAAACATTACATCATATTAATGTGAACCAGAGTCTTCTGGTTTGATCTTTGTGTTTCATACTCGCAGTACAAACTAAATGCGCATATATATATATATATATATATATATATACACACACTTTAGATTTGAATCACGTTTAACCAGTTCAGTGAGACCCGTTGTAATATTCGGCTTCACGTAAAGAAGCCACTAGTGTCGGAAACCTGCTTCTTTAATAATTTCCTTCTTCCGCAGCTGCGACTGTAAAAAAAAAACGTAGAATTACGGGATTAGTGAACGAGTACTGGCGTGAAAGACGTCGGCCAGTGACGTAGAGGATGAGAACCGAAATGTTTCTATTAGACAACGCGTCACATATTCTGCCCACGTGCCGTCGGTGTCCGTTAGAACCGTTAAAACATGACCCTGGACGCACCTTCTCCCGGTTCTCCTCACTGGTTCTGTCCTACAGGTGACACACCGGACCGGTTGGAGGTGAGTCCAGTCTGTGAGTCCGGAACACGGAAACACACCACATCCGGTCAGTTTCAAAATAAAACAGAAAGCGTGTTACCTTTCAGGATTGTTAAAAACCAAACATGTAAATTATATATTTAGGAGATTTATATTCGTCTTCTGAAAACAAATATTTGTTATATTAAAGAAACATGATTTTAAACTCGTTTTGTTAATGCTGCTGTTTTTGGAGACTTTAAACATTTTAATTTAAATGAGATAAAACATTCCTGAAATCTATTTAAAGTAGATGAGCAATAACTTTGTAATATATTGTTTTATTTATTAAAAAGTTTCATCTTTAATATCATGATTAAGAAACATAAAATATGAATTCGCCAAAAATAATTTACCAAACCTCAGTTGAGTAAAAACATAATTTTTTTTTTTAAGCCTTGAAGATGTTCAGACTCCGAAAGATAAAATGTAAGGGTTTAACTTTAATATTATTAATCGTGAAGGTGCGTTTGTTTTGAGGCACTGGGCTGCAGGGCGCGTATTTAGTTTATACTGCGAGTATGAAGTATTTAGTTTATACTGAGTATGACGTATTTAGTTTGTTTGTGTTTTTTAATATATTATTTCAGATGTGCGTTTTGTGATGTGACTCGGTTGCTGTAACTAAGTTCATAAATTAGCATAAATACAGAATTTATTAAGTGCTCGCTGTACTATTATTTTGAAGGCAGGCTCGTCAAACTTCCGGTTTAAATTGCAGTAACTTCACAGCACAGTCTCTCTGAGGATAATGATGAAACGAAGGTTAATTCACTGGTGTGCTAATTATAATAATTCGATTTAAAATAATAAATGAGTTAATAATTTAAATGTGTTTTCTATTTGTAAGAATCGAAGCAACACAAAATTTGACATTTGGGGCTCATCCCAGTCTTTTATTCTTGTTTTCTTAAAAAAACAAAACATTTACAACTGAAACATTTATAAATTACAACAAATACAATTATCTATTTTAAATACTCTGTTGTCATCATCCAACTAATAAAACAAGCTGCAAAACACAAAATTCAAGTCAAATCTCCAATTGAAACCTGACGAAGCATTAAAATAAACAGAGTGGTGCTTCATTCTGCTGCAGTGAATTCACTCTGTTGTGCTTCACTCACAATCAACAGTAGATTTCCATTTTTAGTTTCTATTTTCATGCAAACTGCAGATTCAGGTTCAGTAAACTTTTGCTCCAGGGCACCCGTGTGCAGCAGGAAATGAACTGGATGACTGATTTAAATCTTTTAATTGAATCCCTGCGCGTTACACTGAGAACTCTCTTCCTGTTTTCTTTAAGCTTATTTCCCTCATTAAACCTGAACTGAGGAAACTGAGTCGGGTTAGATGTTAAATTAAAGAGTTTTGTTCCTTTACAGAGAAACTTAACAGCAGCTTTTGTTGTTGAAACTCTCACCAAGTTGGTACCAAGTCTACATCTACAGCTGAACCCGAACCCATCAGTCCCAGCAGGCACTGGCATCCCTGCAGATACCTGGCAGGTACCCTGTTGACACCCCACTGATGCCTGCTGATACCCTGGAGCAACACAGTTGGTGGATGTGGCTCAGTGACGACAGCAGGTGGATGAACCAGTCAGCTGACAGACTGGAAGTCTCTCAAACAAACAAACTGGACAAAGATTAGAAAGTTACTGTTGAGGCAACAACAATATTGTGGTTACAATGTGAGGAACAGAATAAATGTACACTTCTATTAGTCCGACAGCTTTAGAACCTGGTTTCAGGTGAGACGGAGACATAAGATTCAGGGATCAAGGTGGTGAAGAAGAAGCTAAACCAAAATAAATGTTTGTAGACCATTTATCTGAGCTCAAAAGTCCACTTAGTCGGTCTTCAGGGGTTTCAGCTGCACCTCATGGTCTTCATCAGTAAACAGACCTCAGCTTCCATCATGTCGGAACTCTGATCGGACCTTAAGATGCAGCTGAAAGCTTCTATTAGAGTCGTGCTGCCTTCATGTCACCGTGGTCTTTAGTCCACGAACTGATCAAACGGATTTGAGGGCTGATGAGGAAACTTTAAACTATGTTGTAGCTCAAAATAAAACTGTCCCGACAGTCTTTGGAAGACTTTTATTGTGGTGGGAAGGATCCATCACTTAATAACTGTTAGTAGCTTCATGAAGAGAAACAACAAACACAGACGGCCGTTTCAGGGAGAATAAAAGCGTGTTCGGTCATTTCTTTAAATGTTTCTGAAGCCACAAAAACACTGAAGTCTTCTTGAAGAATTCTTTGAACTCGAGTTTCATGGATCTCTGCTCTGCCTCTTATTCCACCTTTTATAATTAAAATGCTAACTGTCGTCCTTGGTCACTGCTGACAGAATATCTGACATCAAACAACTACAAAGGTTGTTGAAGTCTGATCTGGTTTTAATCATCTGGAGTTAAATAAACAGGGACAAACACAAAGTTCACAGCGATTTAGCGGATTCTTCTGGACGTGAAGCGACCTTCTTTCCTTTAGACGTCACAGACCGGAGCATTGATCTCGGCCGGATCTACTTTCAGGACGACGAAGACAAAGAGCATCTGGATTCACATGGACGAGGCAAACGGGACAGGAAGGAGCGCATCGCTCCGACGTCCACCAGGAGGCAGGCAGTAAAGAGGAGAAGAACACAAGCAGGCCGAGGCAGTGGGGGGTTCTGGGTTTTGTAGTCACCCCCTCACAGGGATGAACGCTGCAGGACGAGGATCAGCACTCGAGCGGCGGGTGGAAGCAGCGTCTGCAGTCCACCGCCTTGGGTTGAGGAGGCTGAGCTCTTTTCCTCCGGAGCTCCTCTCGACCCAGAGAGCCGCTGAGCCGGGAGTACGCTGCCTTGTACTTCTTATCGAAAGCAGCTGAGAAGGAAGAGCAGACGGGTATCTGTGATGTGTGACGATACTCGGGGTGGGAATCACCAGAGGTCCCGCGATACGATATTATCACGATACTGTGATATTCTGAGTATTGCGATAACATAGGCCTATATTGCGAGTTATTACTTTTTTCAACTTCAAATTATGTCCCCAAAGGAAAACTTTGTCAACATGTTTTATCTAATAAGATAAAGTTTTCAGTCTGTTCATCTCACTTCAATCATTTTTATTGCAGCAGAATAGGATTGTCAAGCAGACAGACTGACCAACAATGTCATAAATGTTGCACCTGACAAACTGAACTGTTTGTATTACGACATAGCCCAACTTAACTGAATGCAAACGTGTGGACTCAGTATATGAACTATAACTTATATAAGTAGGATATAAGAGTTATATAACTCAGGATAACTTGTGATGCGTGGACGTCGAGGGCAGAAAGACACCTATGTGCTGCACTCTCCCCATGAGCCTGGCTACTGTTGGCAGATTAACCCCGTTGTGAGGCCAGATTGAGCATGTGAGCGAAACACTTCACATGCAGGAATCCCGCTAACTGAACGGCAACGCTCACGTTAGAAGTGTTGTTACAACCACCAGGGTTTTGTCGGCAATCCCCCATTCTTGTGCTGCATTTAGCAGGAGGTCTGTAATGTTTGCCCCGCTGTGACTTACGTGTACTGCTCTAGTTTGGAGAACGAGAGACAGCAGTCGCCAGTCCTCTGAGATATTGTGCTGTTATAGTCACATAGGAATCCACTGCGCTTGACGTCCACGCATCGCAAGTTAATGCAACTCTTTCTGCTGTACTCGAAGACTCCTCAACTTTAAGCTTCACTTCTGTAGAGTTTAGGCACGGCTGTGTCGGTGAAAAAACGCCACGACGGTGTCACATCCATGCGTCACATCCATGCGTCACATCCATGGGTCACATCCATGTCCATCTTCCCTTCCTTGTTAAAAAATCCAAAATAAGTACAGACGTCTGATTTAAACGCGGACGGTGCATTTCTGATTTCTTTCTCCGATGTCTCCATCTTTGTTTTGACCAACTTCCTACCAATCACCAAACTCTAAGTCAAACCCAGACCCGTTAATATGAGACCTGAGATTAAACACCAAGGCTGCTTCACAGTCACTTTAAAGAGCTTCATTAACTGTATGAACATGAATTCAAACCTAATAAAGCGACATGTTACCGACGTCGTCGGTAAGCTTCACTGGCTCGATGCCGGAGGTCGGTGATGGCGAGCTCGTTCTGCATCAGTGCTTCCACCATCAATCTATCTATATCATCTTATATTAAAATAATCTGATGTTAAAAAACATTTCTGATTTCTCCAGAAAATAAACACATTTTCGTTCTCGCACAAAGTCCACCAGGTCTACCCGCTGGAGGACTCTTCTGATGCTGCATTCTTACTACGAGCCGTTCAAGTGTTGATAAATTAATTTGTTATGTTGTTAAATGTCACTGAACTGGTGAACTTCCATTTTATAGACGTAACAGTGACGGGGATTGTGAGAGAGAAGGTGGCTCCTAAGGTCTGCATGTTGAAGTGTCCTTGAGTGAGAACCTGAACCCTGAATCGCTCACTGTTTCCAGTCTTTATGCTAAGCTAAGCTAAGCTAGGCAGCTGCTGGCTGTAGCTTTGTATTGAACATGGTTCTATTCCTTTCACAGTTCATGTGTGACGTGTGCTCACCAGAGTGATTTTGTGTTATTGCTCTTAAAAGCTTTGTTAGGATGAGGTGTGAGTCAGTCTTACCAACGTTGTCTTTGCCCATAGCTGCCAGGGTGAGGAAGAGGAACTCTCTGTACAAACTCCTTACAAACACACAACACACACAAACAAAGAGTAAATAAAAAAGCTGTATACTTTATAATAATTAAAATATGAAGTCTTTTTTAATCTCATTCAAAAACATTCAAAAACTGGCCCCACTGTGAAACTGTCCAGTTGTGAAACCTCAGTGTAACCCCGGTTTAACCCCTGTACAACCCGAGTATAACCCCAGTGCAACCCGATTATAACCTCAGTGCAACCCGACTATAACCTCAGTATAACCTCAGTGTAACCCCAGTTTAACCCCTGTACAACCCGAGTATAACCCCAGTGCAACCCAATTATAACCTCAGTGCAACCCGAGTATAACCCCAGTATAACCCAGCATAACCCAGTATAACCCGAGTGTAACCCTGGTTTAACCCCAGTACAACCCCAGTATAACCCGAGCATAACTCGAGTAAAATGCCGGTTTAACCCCAGTACAGCCCCAGTATAACCCTGGTTTAACCCCGGTATAACCCCAGTATAACCCGAGTATAACCCCGGTTTATCCCCAGTATAACCCCGGTTTAACCCCCAGTATAACCCGAC